GTTTTTTTTTTTGAGAGTACAAATGCAGGCGCCCATAACATACGCACACTCACCCCTATAAACATACACGCATACTCTATCCCTATGAGCACCTCCAAAAGACTGAGAGGAAAAATAATGTTATAGAGATACCCACCACCAATGAACGTAGGGTTTCCTGCACTTTATATGTCGGGCATCACCTGTTGACACAGTCACACAGATAAATATAAAATAAAATATAAGATTGGTATATATTTGCTCAGATTGAGATTTGAATCCATCAGGACTATGGGCCTGTTTGGATCCTTCGGGCTATTAAATAGCCCTCCGGATCCGAACAGGCCCTATATGAACCTTTATTTACTTGTTAAATCGTGTGTGGTACAATAAATGTGTTCCAATTTCTAGCACGTAGTATATTTCAAATGGAATTGATGGGCTTGACTCGGCAGAAAACAACAATACAACATATCGCTTTCTAACGAAGGTTCCGTTCTTGCATTGCACGTCCATGAAACTTACAAGAACTAATGGTGCCGGCCCCATCTCGTGAAAGAGCTGTCGTTATTGGGATCGATCGACAACAACACGACGTCTGCTTCTTATTTTTTCTACGGCCTGCTTCTTGCTACTCTGAAACATTATCTTGTTAAGATCTTCGGTTTAAAGGGAATTAGATAAAGTAAGAAGGAATAATTCCATATCATAATAGATATGATAGATATGAAATAAATCTCCTCTAATCACGATCTCTTGGAGATTAACCAAACAGAGCCAAAGGTGGCAGATTCCCATCAACAAAAATGCATGATTTTCACAGACATTTTATTAGAGGGGTTGGCTCAATCGTCTCTGCAAACATATTATAACCGTATGTAAAAATTGTTTTCATAGCTGCAAGTGATATCAACACGTGATACTTGCATGGACTGTTATTCTTTCAGTTACATGGCAGATGCATATGCAACACCACATTCATGCACCCACAACCTAACACACGCTCGAAGAGATGAAAACCGGCGGCATATCCCACTAAAATCTTGTTGAACAACGTCCAGATGCATATATGTAATATTCATATGAGCACTAGGATTTAAACTCTGGTGGGTGGAGTCATGCATCTATGACTCGACAACCACACCACTAGTGCTTCCCTACATGGACTGCTATTCTAGCAGCGCTACCATCCAGGAGCTTATAATTCAATGTTACTCTCTGCTATATAGCTGGTTATTTCCGTCAAATTTAATGTATAGATGGTTGTCACGTGTCGCACAACTCATTAGTCATGAGAATGTCACTGAGAATTTTGTGCTAGAACATAAACCTAGCAACCGCCGCTATCGCCGCCCTCCCTCCCCTCCGCCGCCACCCGAGCGGCATGCTGACAAACTCGAGCTGCAAGTATGGCCCAATGGGGCTCTTTTGGCCTCCAAGCTGCAGTGGTCGGGGAACCAAAGCGAGGGAGGAGGTGGAGATCAAGCCGCCAAATCCGAGGTCTAGCAAGAGGCCTGCGCCCGGTGGTGTGGAGGAGGTGCCAGCACGTGGTGGAAGCGTAGGCAGCAATGAAGGGTGGTTGTGGGAGCGAAGGCGATGACATAGGCGTCCATCTAGCGCTAGATCCAGAGGTGTGACGGTGACGGTTGAAACAACATGCGCGGTGGGCCAGTGGGCACAGGGGAGTAGAAGGGTGGCTGCGGCTCCAACCAGGTGTGGCGGCATTGTGGTAGCCACTCTCTAGGTGTCATATGGCTGCAGGTGTTAGGAGGACCGTGGAGGTGGTCAGATGGTGGCAGGGAAGGGTGGGAACGACTATAGTGTCGGCTAGATGCGACGAAGGTTGCCTCTTCTCCTCCCCTCATGTTCGCCACTAGCTAGGTGAGGTATTGCGACATCATCCAGGTGTGGCCGCAGCGGCATCTCCCCCTCCTCTTTGGTCGCCGGTGATAGGAAGGCGGTGGGTAGCGTGGTAAGAGAGGTTGAGGTATCGGTCAAGTGTGGCAGTGACAACAACAACAAGATGGCAGCTAGCGAAGGGAGGGCTGAGACGTGGGGATGGAAGGAGTGGATGCAGCAGAGACTAAGTGAGGCAACATTGGTGGTTGCTCCCCGGCCCTCCACCTGCGCATGGCCAATGGAGACGAGGAGTTCGACGGCTTAGCGGAGTGGTAGACGGCCCTTGCAGAGGAGCGTGGCTTGTGGAGGTCGACAATGGCTAGACCACACAAGCAGGGTGGGTGTGCTCGGCTTTTGCGATGTTCTTGCGTATGACGACGATGGTGGTACGGAGGCGTAAATCAGCATCGGCATGCTCTAGTGGGTGGAGGCTGATCGGTGGAGGGACGCCAATGCAACGGTGTACACGCTGGCAGTAGTTGGACTTGGTGGGGCTTTAGAGTTGCAAGTACAGGGAGGCTAGGCGGCAGGCGAAAGCCTTGGCCGACCGCTTGCTTGGACAACAACAGCGACATTTGCAAGTATGTGTTGTCCCCCTAGGAGGCGTTATCAAGGCACCTTGTTTTTCTTCTAGCAGGTCGCTCTAGGTGAAAAACGATGTCCAGATTCCCGGGATGGGACGGCGGTGGTGTGTCCTTCTACCTTTAGACAATTCCGATGCTTCTAGATGGCAGCTGGTCTGTACGAGGGACGAGCAGATCCTTCTTCTCTCTTGTCCTCTCTCCCTCTACAACCCTTCTCGCTTGATCAAGATTGCCTTGTGTTTTAGCTGGTTGAAGGCATTGGTGGACAGTTTACTGGTGACTTCATGTCTAGGCTTGGTGCCGACCGTTCCCGCTTAGCGGTGGTCGACGCGGTGCTAGGTCGTTGGTGTGTGCGAGTTGTCGGTGTGTGGTGGTAGTTTTCTTTTTCTTTTTCTGACTGTAATCTTCTAGGGCTGCAGTCTTGTGATTTTTTTTCCTTGTTATATCAGTATGAAACATCACACTCTTTATTTAGTGTTGTTTGTTAAAAAAATCATTATAGGATTTAAATTTTGTTCCATAAAAATCGTCACGGTATATGACTACTTGTCCCACTTATTCTCATTTATGGATAAATATTCTTTCATGGTGCTGATGACATATCCATCGATAACGAGACGTTTATGGTTATACGGACCCAGTCTCTCGAGGATGCTCGCATGCAATGCGTGTGTGCATGCATGTTTTTTTAAGCATTTGCGTTTGTATTGTGTTTCGAAAAATAATCAAAAAGTCTAAACTTTAATATATGCTAAACAATTAGAAAGTTTTTTTCAAACTATAGTGTGCACCTGATGCTGAATAGCGGAATAATTTTGCCATCACGGTTAGAGAGTAAAACAAATTAATTAACTATTGTAATGGTGATGAATAATGCATGTGGATTAGTTTTTAGGAAATCTATACTATCTATAAAGTACAACCCCTACATCCTAAAGCTCAAAGATATAAATATGGAGTGCATCATAATCCATGAGCAATTATTACATCTTAAACCTCATACAAACATACTACATCATCTATATTTTATTGTACATGTTAAATCATTATCCCATATAATTTACATAATATTTCAACATATAATTTCCCTACCATTTTCTAAAATATCATATATACCTATCTAGTTCATCCCATTTAGTTAATGTTTTGTACTAACTCTCATTAAACCATATCGGATAAGTTGTTTTGGTCTATAGATAATTAATTTATAGTCTAAATTATTTCCCTCATTTTATTATCCCATTAAGTCACATCATCTACTTTTTATTTTTATTATCAATCTATACAATATTTAAATCACCATAAACCACATCAACTTAATGAAAAATACAAATCCTATGAGCTTAAAACGTCTAGCTATGGTTTTTCTCGAACATGTAGGGACGCATAGCTATATTTCATGTTATTTTTACTACTATCATATTAAACTCTAGAAGCAAAACGCGAGGTTTCATCAAGTTTTTTATAATCGAAAGTTTTTTTTAAGTCCCACCGTTTAGAAGCTTAATTTAGAAAGTTGTCGCAATAACCAAATCCTCCATTCCCATTTTCTGTTAGAATATAATATACTAGTTACAGTTGGACTAAGAGCTATAATAGGTGGTAGGGAGTGGAGTTAGAGTCGGACTTTATGAGCCAACAATATAACCATTACGACTACAATGTAGCGTATACACGCAGAGAGATAATGACAGCGTGGCCATGGACTTGTAGTGGCTAGGAGCTATATTGGTTGGGGAGGAGCGCCCATAATTAGAGCCCTGGGATGTAGGCTTCGGCTGAACCTCATTAACAAATATCGTGTGTTTCTGTATCGTCATCTGCTGTATCTACAGTCTTCAATTAAGTTAGTCGCCGTTCCGCTGTATCGACTAACTTTTATAATAAGTAGTAACAAGTAGTATCAGAACCCAGGTTTGGAACCCGGAACAATTTTCATGGGTCATATGGTGGGGAGGCCAGGTAAGAGTGTGTTTGGATGCCCCTTTTCCTAACCCCTCCCTCTCATTTTCCGCGTGCACGTTTTTCAAACTGCTAAACGGTGCGTTTTTTTGTAAAAAGTTTCTATACGAAAGTTAGTTAAAAAAATCAAATTAATCCATTTTTGAAAAAAATAGCTAATACTTAATTAATCACGTGCTAATGGATCGCTCCGTGCGGGAGGGTAAGGTTCCCAACCATGGCCAACGAACACAGCCTAAAAAGTCTTTGGGGTTCACATGGGTTGATGTGACGGGAAAGATTGTGGGCCCGATGTGTGACGGGGGGATTGTTGAGTTTAGTCCAACATCAGTAATTTATGATGGGGGAGCACGATTTAAAAGGTGGGGATGATCCTCACACATCAAGACTAGTATTTTGGGTTGTATAGGCCCAGAATCTAAAGTTGTAGCTCCGATTGGACCTATGGTAGAGCAGCCCCAATGTGACCTGGGTGCACCGTGTTGCGTACTCTAATATATATATATATTTTTAAAAAAAGGCACTCTAATATTTTCTTTTTTTTTTAAAAAAAGGCGCATGGTACACGAAGACACAACATATACATCTTCGTGCGATTTATTTGAGGAAACCCAACGCTTAGGTGGTTGTGAAGCTGCGCGGTCGCCGGGGCAAAGCGAACCACATGGCCGTACGACGAGCGCCGCTGCCGGTGGGACCGAGGGCCGCCGCCGACGGCAATCCGGCGCCGCCGGGTGAGTCGAGCAAAGGCCCCGGCCTTGACGGCGAGTTCCGGCAGCTGGTGGACATCGCCGACGAGGGGGTCAAGCTGGTCAACGACGCCGAGCTGAGGCTGAAGAAGCGGGCGTGCGACAACCCCAAGGACCTCGCCGCGTGGCTCCGGCGGCTCCAGAGCGCCAAGGAGGACCTGGACGACGCGCTCGATGAATTCAGAGCTTCCATGGCGGCGCAGCGGCGGCGGCCGGAACAGGATCAGGAGAGGAAGAAATCGGTAAGGCCGACGCTCTCGCTGGGCTTCTATTTTTATTTCTTTTTTTTTCTTCCCCCGTTTTTATATAATTTCGCAATTCACAAACAACAACTAAGATGGAGAAATTTGAACTCTATAAATCAAATTACTCAATTTGTGGACCATTGGAGTTCTTTAGTGCCATATGTTGACATCACACTATTAATCGCGCTCTAGTGTCTTGGCTAATTTTGGGAATCTTGCCACATCTAGTTCAGTTTATGCTCGGACATATATTATAATCAAATTTCAGGAGGAAAATATGTGCTGCTTGTGTGTCTGTCCCCCCAAATTGAGTTGCTAATCAGGATTTTGCGGATCTGAATCCTCAGCAGTCGACTGTACCGTGCCTTTGTCATTGATCCACATGTTAGTGAAAAAGGCACGGTGCAGTGACTGCAGAGGATCTCAATCCGGATTTCGCCAGCCTTGCAACTTCAGAAACAACGTTCATAAGTTTGTTACCTTACTACCAGTTATGAGCAGCAGTACTGATCACAATTTAGTATTTGGAAGCAAGGATGATTATAGTTTCTATATTAGATATTCTTTTTATTTTGTTGACATTTTTAGTTTTCCATTTGATTAGTTAGGTTCTATCTTTGAGCGTAAGTACCTCTGCCATTCTTATCATTACCAGCTCAGTGCTTGGATGGTACAATGGATCTCAGGCATATATATTTTGCGATGGGATTCATATAAATATTACATATTCAGTCCTAATCTTTAAATATAAAAACATTTAGGGCATCCCTGGTGTATGCGACCTATAATGGTCTTAAGGTGGGATCCACTTTGGCTTATAGAAGCAGCTCAATGTATGAATTGGAGGGGACCACAAGCTGGGGACCAATATAACATTAAAGCTACATAAAAAATGCTCAATATTTGTCGGTTTTGACCCCGCAAGAAACAAGGCAATCAGTTTATTTATGTAATGTAACAAAAAGACCCCTATGATCCTCTCATTTTTTAGGTGCAAATTGCTAGTAGTTTTATGGAGTAATATTTTAGTGCGTTCAAGAGCCAGCACAATCGGCAGAAAAAAATGAATTTTCTCTCTGACTTTGTGCACAGCCTGGGCCCATGGTACAGAAGCACAAATTGGAAAACTATTCATTGGGAAATGAAAACCAACAAGTATTTGTGAACAAGAGAATTAGTCAAAACGACAAGCATCTATAAACCGATTTTTAGTATCAGCTACCCCTATCCCCCCTACAAATTTCAAAGTCAGGCTGGGCTGGGCCAGTCTTTGGAAAACCAGTCAAACTACCCATCCTAGACCCCCAAACCCTCATTTTGCCTCTTCTTCCTGTGATCAACAATTTATTGTACTAATTTTATAAATGTAAAACATATAAGTACTCATATTTAACCACTTTCTGGGCTTGTTTGGGCTTCAATCAAGGTTTTTAGGTCAAAAACTCAAGCCCAGGCCTAGCCCATTACTTCTTGTGGTGAAACCTCTAAGCATGTTATATCTTATCTCATATGCTGCTATCCAAATAAGTTTTACCTTTGGAAGTTGTGTATCTTTAGCATAAGATATGTTCCTTTGGTAACCAACACAATTTCACACTCTCTTTGCTGTGCTACTATCAATTTTCATAACAGAACTTCTTAGAAACTCCGCCCCGGTACTAGCTTCCCCTATATGAGGGGCCCTCTTTTACTACAGAAGAGAAAGGGGCTCCAAGTACAAACCCAAAACCTACTTTATGTCTCTTACCACAATACAGATAGTGCCTGAACTCAGGTTACTCAGCAATCTATTAACTCACAATAATTGAGAGAAGCTAAACTGCACTAAAGCACTTAAAGAAAATCAAAACCAACTTCCTCTTCCATTCCAACTTAATAACTTTGGAGAGTAGAAAATCTTTGCTAGTTGAAATCACGCATGGTGTATCCACATGCATTTTCCATATACTATGTCTCTTAAACGCTATTCTTATTTGCCTTCAATGACCATTCACAAGAAATGAATTATTTATCTGAACAGATTCGCCATTGGTTCTCACGCTCATCAGCTAACCATGAGGTTGACAAGAAAATGAAAATCACTACTGAAAAGCTGAATAAGAAATTCCATGGGATCTTACAGAATGGTCGTGAACTTGGCCTTCAACCAATCAAATTGCAAAGACACAGTCGAATATCTGAATTTCCTGGGGATCTCTCACCCCAGTACACTCTTGTAGGAGATATTGAACAAGAAAAGTTGAAGTTGATCAACAAATTGACTGGCAGCGAAAGCACCAGTGCTGTCATTGCAATCTTTGGGTTGGGTGGAATTGGCAAGACTATGTTGGCACGAAAAGTACATGATGATCTCCTCACAGAAAGTGCATTCAGCACTGTTGTATGGGTAAATGGCTCCAAATCTTTCACTAAAAAGAAATTGCTACGTGCAATTCTAAGTTCTTCTGGTGGCAAGCCTGGAGAGGCAAAAAAAAAGAGCAATGAGCAAATTGAGGACATGTTGGTTACAATACTTGGAGCAAAGAAATTCTTACTGGTACTTGATGATGTATGGGCTGACCAGATTCATCAGGATTTTCTAAAAGTTAGCTTGCAAGCACAGCAAGGAAGCCGAATTCTGTTGACTACCCAGGATGAGGGAGTTCTGAGGCAAATTGCTTCTGATGACATCCACAAAGTAAACAAATTGAGTTTCCCCGATTGTTGGTCTCTGCTCTGCAGTAGTGCTTGCCTGGATGAACAGGATTGCGACGCATTAACAGATATTGGTATAACAATTATCCAGAAATGTAACAAGGTTCCATTGGCTATCAAAGTTTTGGGTGGTCTCCTAGGAACAAAGAACCCAAGAAGAGAGGAGTGGCAGGAAGTGATCAGTGAGAGTGAAGGGTGGACTCTTGAGAACGTTCCTGATGGCATGGAGGAAATATGTCTCCCCATCTACTTAGCCTATTACAGTCTGCCATATCATTTGAAATTATGTTTTGATTACTGCTTGCAGCTCCCTGAAGGATTTGTTATTAGGCCACAAATTGTTACTCAGCTATGGATAGCAGAGGGCTTTATTCGAGAACAAGATAACCGCAACCCTGAAGATATCGCAGAACAGTATTACAAGGAATTGGTTCTAAGAAATCTTCTGCAGCCTGAGATTGGGTGCTTTGACATGTCGAAATGCACAGTGCATGATTGTGTAAAGTCCTTGCTGCAACCTTCAACTAAAGACAAGAAATCAACAGATAGCACCGAAGGGACAAAGTTTTTTAGAAGCTTCAGGACAGCTTTTGTCTACAAGAATCCATCAGGAGATCGCGGCCTCAATTGGCTCATAAATTTGAGATCTCTCATAAATTTGAGATCTCTTGACCTTACTGGTACTTGCATTAGGTACATACCGAAGTCACTAGAACATCTACATCACCTTAGGCTCTTAAACCTCTCACTGACACAAGTTTTAGAGCTTCCGGAATCTATTGAGAGCCTCAGCAACCTGCAGTTCTTGATACTTCGGTGTTGCTATTGGCTCGAAACCCTGCCAGAGGAAATTAGTAATCTGGTCAGCTTGCGGAGCCTTGATTTGGAAGGGACTACACCACATATAGTTCTGTCAAGATTATCAGCCCTGGAGCAGCTAACTGCACTGCATGGTTTCATAGTAGACCACAATGCGGCAGTACCCGACAATGATCATCAGAACGGATGGCCTATGAAAGAGCTGAGTCCTTTGAACTCATTGCGGAGCCTGCAGATAATGGGCATCGATAGAGTTCCAGATGAATCTAGGGCGCAAGAAGCTAACCTAGCAAGCAAGTCTCACCTCACACATCTTGAGTTATGTGGTAGTAGCACCAGTGATTCACAAGTCTTTGTACCAGAGGAAGAACAAGATAGATGGCTCAGTGTGCTTTGCGGTCTCCAACCTCCACAATGCTTGGAATATCTCAAAATAGCGAGCTATTATGGATCATCTCTTCCGGATTGGATATTGCAACTTCGAAACCTCCAGCGGCTTGTGCTTACCGATTGCAAACTCTGTGATAGCCTCCCAGCATTGGGGCAGCTACAACAACTGAAGTTCCTCACAATCAATGGATGTCCTAAGTTACGCATCATCGAGTGGCGGACTGGTGCTACGACTAAACTGGTATTTCCAAAGCTAGAGCAGCTGGACCTCAGGGACATGCAGGCCTTGGAATCATTGGATAGGTTTAAACATGGTGACCTGCTTTCCCTGACCAAATTTCACCTAGAGAACAGTCCCAAATTGAGATCCCTCCCATCTGGCCTTGGTTACTGCAAGGTACTGACAAGTATGAAGATTGTTGGTGCTGATAGCCTCCAAGTGATTGACAACCTTCCTATGCTCAAGGAATTGGTTGTCCAAGACTGCAGAGAACTTGTCATGATCTCAAATCTTCCAGTGCTTCAGGTCCTGGTAGTCGTTGACTGCTCCATGCTGCAAGATTTGAGGGGAGTTGCAGGCCTAAGGCATGTCCGCCTCGTGGACAGAGTGACGAAAGAACTTCCAGATTGGTTGACAGGCCATGAGGCTCCTCTGCTGCAAACATTCACCATAGTCGGCACGACAGAACTACTCAGGAAGTTAGTTCCCAACAGCAAAGGCTGGTCGGCTATACGTAACATGGACAGAGTTTATGCAAATTTGCCTGATGGGGCCCCGTTCTTGGCTTACAACAAGGGCAGACCTGATTTTCAAATGATTAAGACAGCGGTTGGCCCTCAGTTGGAAGATCGTCCTTCTGCATATATTATCCTCAGAAAGCTTGTCAGGATGGCCTCACAAACTGGCCTTCTGGATAGCTTAAAACGGTATTTCCTCCCTCCACTTGCCATTGTTCTTGTACTCTTGCTGCTGGCAACCAGAGACTTCACGCTCATTGGAATCTTGCTCGCCTTCTTTGCGGCAATAGCATGCCTTGCTGGGTTTTATTATATATATATTCAGAAAGCTTCAGGGTGAATACTTAAACCATGCAGCTGGACGACCAATGGAGATTATAAGATAGAGAATTTTATGACTGGGAACATGTACTCTATATTCAGGCAATAAAATAAGCTTGATTTGGAGGGACAACTGGTGGCAGAAATTATAACAAAAATATCATTTTGAGGTTAAGCAAACCAAATCTTCTGTATGATGGAATGCTCTTCACATTAGATAACCGGCAGGCTTGTTTTTTTTCATTGGTACGACAGTATGCAGTTCTGTGTATTGTAACTGGTAAAATTTGATATACATCTACTCTGTTTATGTTCTCCTTGTTCCTGTGGTCTTTGCCTTCTGTTTCTTTTCATTTCTGTTTTTATGGGACGTTTATGTGGTCTTGCTTGTGAGCTGCTGGAACGCATAATTGATTAACTTACAGATACTAGCAATCTCATATCTATCTATCTATCTATCAATCTATTATATATTAAAAGTCCATTAATTTTCCTATAAAAACTCCTAAGCTGCCACGTGGCGCTCCTACAAACGTTACTAGATCGCCACGTAACATTTTATAATCTCACCGTCGATTTTCATTTAAATTGGTGGACCCGTTATTTTAGACCATTAGATTAGATCTATTTGTTTTCTCTTAGTTTATCCTTCCTGTGCATAGATGCCGTTTATACCGGAAAAAAATTACCATCGGTACGTAATTGGAAAATACTAAAGGTTCCTTAAGGTACTGTTTAATTAAAAAAAAGAACGTACTTACTTACGATAAAAAACTACAAAACAGAAAAGAAACTTTATATATTTCGTAAAACTATGTTACATGCCCTTATTACTGTAAATTACACATTCTGCTACTACATGTAGAGGGTTAAAGTTCAAAATGCCAATATTTGAAAAGCAATATCTCGCTAGATATGTATTGTTTTTTAAAACCATTTTCACAATGATGCTATAGTATTACTGCATGTGGAGGGTAGAACTTGAAAATGCATCTATATACTCTCCTCCTCAAGAAACCGTTCTTCCTCCCTCTTCTCAAGAAAACTGGTCTCCTCCCTCCAATATAGTGTTATTGCATGCATGTATATGATGTTACTGTACTTTTGACAGTAATACTATGGTGAATTGCAGTAAATCAGGAATTGAAACAAAAAATATATAGGTTCAAAGTATCATATGCTAACCATATACTTGTTACTGCACAAAAGTAAAAGTGTTACTGCATGGCATATACACGTTACCACGTAACAGTTATACATTACCGCATGTTTATGCAGTAACACTATCCAAGAACTACAGTGTTACTATAGAACATATAGAACGTTACTGCACCTTTGGCAGTAAAATCGTGGTGAAATTGTAGTAAACCAGAAATAAAAAAATATAGGTTAAAAGTCTCACATGCTAAATATACTTGTTACCGCATAAAGTGGAAGTGTTACTACATGGCATGTACACGTTACCACATGTTTATGCAGTAACACTATTCAAGAATTGCAGTAAGATGAATTGTTGCTACAAAACTTATAGTCTTTATTGTACACTTATAGTAACGCCGCGATGGGATTGTAGTAATGCATAACAGATAGAAGTAACGAGTAGTAATGCTATTATATTACTACTTGTGGAGAGTCAAGATCCAAAATACCTAAGCTTTGAAGAATAATATTTCTCACGTGATGTATGATTTTTTTAAACCGTTTGCACCACGATGTTAGAAAAAAGTGCTTATCAAAAGTAGATCCATCATGACTATATTTTAACTAAATTTGAATGTTGTTACTGCACGTAAGACACATCGTTACTACACGATAGTTGTCGCATTACTGTACCGTTCCTCGAGACGAGAGCTAAGAAGAGGTGGGTGGTGGGGGGAGTTGGTAGGCGGTTTGACCAGGCTTTGACTAATGTGGGGGTTCTTTGATTGACCTTTGACTGAGGTGGGAGGTGGGTTTGGTCCTTGGGAGGGAGTGTGTGTATCTATATATATAAACTATTCTATACCCCCCTCCCTCCAACCCACCTCCTCTCCTCCCAAGGGCCCAAAACCCACCTCCCACCTTGGTCAAAGGCCAGTCAAAGGTCCCACACGTCGGTCAAATCTTGGTCAAACCCGCTAGTGACTTTCCCCACCACCCTCTCTCTTCTTAGCTCTCGTCTCGGAATGACGTAGTAACGTGTTGTTCATCGTGTAGTAACACTATATTTTACTTGCAGTAACAAAATTAAAATTTAGTCACAATATACTCATGATGGATCTACTTTTGGTAAGCACTTTTTTTCGAACATCATGATGCAAACGGTTTTTAAAAATAGTACATGGTGTGAGAGATATTACCCTTCAAAGATTTGTTTTCGAAGATTTAACTCTCCACAAGTAGTAATACTATATCAAAAGTCTTACTACTATCTGTTTTGCGTTACTGCAATCACATCATATCGTTACTACAAGATGTAGTAACAATTATAAGTTTCACATAACATAGTGTGTGTTACTGCAATTACTTGATAACGTTACTGCAAGACTATAAGTTTTGCAGTAACAAAGCATCTAACTATATTTTTTAAGTAGTGTTACTGCATAAACACGTGGTAACGTGTAATTGTCGTGCAGTAACACTTTTACTTTTGTGCAGTAACAAGTATATGATTAACATCTGAGGCTTTTAACCCATATATTTTTGTTTCAATTCCTAAATTACTGCAATTCACCATAATATTACGGTCAAAAGTGCAATAACGTCATTTGCATGCAGTAACATTATATTAGAGGGACGAGACCAATTTTCTTGAGAAGAGGGAGAAAGAACAGTTCTTGAGGAGGGGAGTACGTAGATGCATTTTGGAGTTTAACCCTCCACATGCAGTAACACTATAACATCATGGTGGAAACGGTTTAAAAAAATAATACATATCTTGTGAGATATTGCTTTTCAAAGATTGACATTTTGAACTTTAACTCTCCACATGCAGTAACAGAATATGTAATTTACAGTAACATGGTTTTACCAATTATATAAAATTATTCAAAACACTCCTACATCAATTAAACCTTGCTCAAAGCCACCTACAAACTTTACCTATGGCTCACCTATTCGATTTTCATCTCGTAAAAATGATATAGTAACACTACATTTATCATGCAGTAACATAGCTACTTAGAAGTGGTAACATGTACCTATTGTTTAGTAACACTTCTACTTTTGTGCAGTAACAAGTATATAGTTAGTATGTGAGGCTTTAACCCATATATTTTTCTTTCAATTCCTAGTTTATGTAGTAATACTATTCAAGAAATGCAAGACACTTTGTTACTGCAAAGCTTATTGTCTTTACTAGACTCTTATAGTAACGTTGTGATAGAACTGTAGTAACGTACAATAGTAACAAGTAATGCTATTGTATTACTACTTGTGGAGAGTCAAATTCCAGAAAGAAAAGCTTTTAAGAACAATATCTCTGATGTCATGTATGGTTTTTTTAAAATTGTTTGCACCATGATGCTAGAAAAAAAATGCTTATCAAAAGTAGATCCGTCATGACTATATTTCAATTATATTTGAGCGTTGTTACTGCACGTAAAACACAGTGTTACTACACGGTGACCGTCGCGTTACTGCACAGTTTCGCGAGACGAGAGCTGAGAAGAGGTGGGTGGTGAGGGGAGTTAGTAGGCAGGTTTGACTGAGCTTTAACCGGCGGGAGGGGGCTATGACCAGTGTTTGACCGAGGTGGGAGGTGGTTTTTGGGTCTTGGAAAGAAGGGGGAGGTGGGTGTGGCCCTTGAGAGGGAGGGGGGTATTCTATACCCCGGGTGTGTGTGTGTATGGAGATACTATACTACATATGGGGTGCATTGTATTAAAATGCAACCCACCCCCTACCCCCACCCACCCTACTAGGGATGAAACTGGTTCGGATAGTTTCCATCCGTCCGGACCATTTTTCGGATTCGGATAGTTTTGGTCGGAATTATCCGGAAATTCTTGGATTCGGAAACGAATTCGGATATTTTTTTCTCGGAAACGAAAACAAATACAGTAAGGGTACTATCCGTCGGAATCGGAAAACGGTCGGAAACTATCCAGAATTTTTTTCGGATATCCACAGTTATTGAGCAAATTATATAAAAAACATGTATATATACATAACTTTTTCATACGGAATCAGATGAAATCAAACTTTATATCAACATTGTAGAGCTCGATGAGATCTACAACTTTCTAATTGACTATTTTATTATTTGAGGTCATTTATGGGTCTAAATATTCATTGTATATACCATATTAATTTTTACAAAATCTCAGATCTACAATTCAATGACATCTGATGGAGATGTGTTCCATATCAAAGTTGTAGAGCTCAATGGGATCTACCACTTTGTAGTTTATAATATTTATATTTGAAAACATTTAAAGTATGATACAAACATTAAGTTTCGAAGATGTGAAGTAAAATAAATAAAATCTCCAATTTATACAATGGTAAGTAAGTTATACGTCTAGTAAAAGGTCTTGGGAATAGAAAATGATAATCATATTTGCATATGGATCTCTTAGAGGAACAGCCATGAAAATCGATTTTCACATACGATTGTGGGACCGTCTATAAAATTGATGATATAAATGTTGGAGATGTTGAACTAAAATAATAAGCGATATCTCTTCCTTGATCAAGAAACTCAATTTGAGGGGTTTTTTATATACTGGTAAATATTCGCTACCGTATTCGTTCCGTCTCGTATTCGCTCCGTATCTGTATTCGATAATATTCTATTTCATTTCCGTATCCGAGTTTTCGATTCCGATTCCGATTCCAAAAAAAATATATGAAAACGAATATGATAAAGCTAGTTTCCGTCCGTTTCCGATCCGTTTTCATCCCTACACCCCACCCCCTCCCTGTACCCCCAACCTCCTCCCCTTCCCCCATATACAATAGTAATTCTTTTACTACTAAACTTCCTCCTATATATAGGATTTAATACACTCAATTTTTTTTTTGTTAATTTCTTTCGATTTTTTTGGATCTGGAACGGGAAGGTTGCCGACGGCGATTCGAGAAAAGGCAGCGCCGGGGAGAGGCCACCGTGCCGCCTGGATTTGGAGGCAAGCTCCACGACAACGGGCGCCTGCCTTTTTTCTGCCCATGGCCTCCACTGGCTTCCCTTCCGCCGCCGCCGCCGCCGCCACTTCGAGCTCCTCCCCACGCCCTCCCGACCGGCCCTTGCCGATCTGCTCCATGTTGGCGAGCTATACGGAGGAGCCAACGTCCTTCGTCCTCGTCGGCGGCTGCCAGATCGCCACCATCGCCCACGCCTGCTGCCCTCGTCCGCCGCCTGTGGAGGATGCTGAGGAGGTGTAGCAGCAGCATTTGGATTGGATTTGCACAAGTTGTTGGTGCGAGCAAAGGAGGAGGAGGG